TGTCAGGCACCTAATAAAGAAACAAATTGGAAAATTTATCAGAGAAGCATGATAAATATATAAAATTATTTACAAAATCTGACAGTATACCCTGCAAGAAAACAACTACCCCATATTAAGTCAAATTTAAAGGACATAGAATACAAATTAGAGAAATTTAGGTTTAGAGCAACAACCTTGCTAGAACTTCTCAACTGCAAGTCCCATTGCAGATGCAATAGCACCAATAGTAGAGAGAGTTGCCATTCCTGATCTAGAATGCATAACAACGTCAGGGCGAGCAAAACTACTTGATCTCTGTGGGCTGTAGCTTCAGCTGAGTGAGAAGCATCATACCTCCTGAAAGACAAGGCATTGAACCCAAATGTTCAATTCACAGCACATCCTATTTGGTTTGCTCAATCAAACAATGTCACAATACTCCAATTTGAAAAGAAATAAAAATACTTCAGCTTTCTTCAAACAGAAAGTTAATGCAATTTCAACAAATCACATAATTTGTCTACTGTTATTGTTCTGCTGATTAAAAATGTTGATTCCAATACTAAACTAACTTTTGTAATTGCATGCTCTATAAAAATAATAGAACAATATCATATCAATGGGCATCTAAATGCCCTTTCAAATTTAGTTATTTTTAATTCACTAAACATGTTACAGAACACAAAACACAAACGAGATAAATCCAGAGTTTTCAACAATCTTCCACAGACATAGTCACTTGTTAAGTTGTTCATTTTCCAGGAAACATAGGACTTAGAACATCAAATTCCTTAATAGAACTTGTAGATAAAATTACCAAGGCACTAAAACTGCACAACAACTTACCTTGATGCTGAGCCATACAGAGCAACCTCCTCCAGATACAATATTTGGCAAGTTTTTACGAAGGCTCAAAACATTAAGACTAACTAGACAAAATATAGTGTTGGTCAGGCTGTGAATATTAAAGGTTTAGTCATTTCATTGACTGCTTATTATAATTGTTCACAATTTTGACACGTATAGCAGGATTCTTTGAAAACTGAGTTGCTGACCTAAAACAGGTATGCACTTTCAATGGAAGCAATCACAACTTAATATCAAGGACATAGAGCACACCAATTTGTTCATATTTACCTCGAGTAATCTTTATAAGTAAACCATCACTAAACACTCATAGTTTCAGAATTGACCATAACAGCTGTCACATTACTGTCTCCACAACTACTTAAACAATAACTAACTAAAGCAATAGAATAAAGGTACAAAACTCTAAAACTTAAAATACCAGATTTCACACTCACTAACTACAATAAGAATAGAAATCAATCATTTAACTACATAAGCAGAATGCATCATAGAAACATTTAACTAAGCAAAAGCAAAATTTTGGATATCAAGAAACCACGATGTAAATACAGCACAGTGAAACCAATCAAATCAAGGTTCAAGACTCCAAAATCAAAGCACTAGGTTTCACACTGGCTAAACTACAATAAGAATAGAAAATCACTCATTTAACTACATAAGCAGAACACACTGTTTGAATGATCAATTTGATTAGTCAGGCAAAATTTACTGTCATGACTTAAGCTTTAATACAAAGCATGTCAATGGAACTGGAAGCTTGATACATAAACACTCATCATAAGGGCATCCATCATCCTTGCAAGAACAGCCTCTTACTTTCTCCAAAGTGCCTTAGAATTATGTTACAGGGACACCTCAAAATGCATAATCAAACTCTGTAAACACAACATGACACTGATACTATCTTAATATGTTCATTTTCCTGGACATATTGAGACTTTGAGATGAATGAGGTACTCATATTAAGTGCCTATAAGCTAAAACACAAGTTTACCCTAGGGTATAGGAGAACAAAAGTTGGAAACTCTTGGATTTGTAGAGGAAAAAGAAAAAGGGAAGGAAAAAGTGAAACCCACTACTCTTGGATCATTGAATCCCACTACTCTGATTTGTGATTTTAGAAGATAGTTTATTTGCTCCTCTGTAATTCTAATAGAGGCTTCACAGATATCAATTAATGAACAAAATTTAAATTTAATATGTTAAAAAAGGGCTTAGTTTGCTCCTCTAATATGTACTCAATGTCTTTGCTTTTAGCTTAACACACCATATAGAAATTCAAAATGATATATAAAAGCATAATTTTGAGTAAAAGTATAGGCAAGGATTGGAAATGGACTAAGCAAAAATTTAAAGAATTTCAAAAACCAAAAATAGAGCATCCAACATTAAAATACTAACATTAAACAAACAAATATATATAATATGAACATCCAGTTTTGGTTTACAACAATTATCGAAGTAGGAAAAAGAAAAAGCAAGACAATAAAGTGAAGAGGATGAAAAGCTTTGCCCTGTCTGGTAAAAGAAGCAGAAGCAGAGAGAGACAATGGAAGAGAGATAGAGAGAGAGAGAAGAAGAAGCAACAGCTGGGGGGGGCAAGAGGAAGAGAGAGCAGATTTTTTGTTATGAAAATCATATCCACCACACTTCATCCAAACACTCGAACCAAATCAAGGAAACAACGAAATTCAACAAACCCACCAATGGAAAATAATCAAAAAAACCACTAAAGCGGCACAACCAACATAGCGCTAATAAATAAAAAGACACAAAAAAATTTAAAAGACAAAAATTGTGGACTAACAAATTCTAGAAAACCACAAGACCTTAAAGCGAACTTATAATTTGTAAAAAAAAAAAAAAAAAAAAAAAAAAGGTAAAATGTCAATGCATCCCCTCAACATGAAATTGGAGTCTCATCCTTAGATTCAGCTGTCACTTGGGAATATCATTATGTAAGCTTTAAACCAAAAATTATAAATATTTAATTAATTGATGAGAGTTCATGAATTTAGGGTTTGAAGCATGCATGCTTTCAAACAATAATCCTGTGCTATAATAAGAATTCATATGATTTTGAGATCTACAACAAAGGTTCAAGTGAAAGAATTAGCATAAATATCACCAGGAGAAAAGTAACTTTTTCCTTAAATAGAAGAAGAAAAATGAAGAATGAAGTTTGGAAATACTAAGTTTATGGTACCCTTTTCTTCTTGTCTCAAAACAATGATCAATTTCAATTGGTATATATAGTGAAGATAGCTATAGAATATCGTATTTAGAAGCCTAATCATAAGAGGACAAATAGGCAAACGACCTTGAATATGAGCATTATACAAGCAACAGCTGCAACTATCATCAGATTTTAATCTTATATATATAATTTTAATCATTTATGGTTGTGTTTTTTTGTCCTAGATTTTGTTTCTTAGGTACAAAACAAAGCAAGTTGAATTGGTTGGATGCATAGATGCAAATCTGTATTAGGAACATGCTGCATTTAATTATTTTTAATATAAAATGAAAATCTTAAGACCAAACCATAACCCACAGATGATTGGGACCAAACCAGTTCAACTTCAACAATCAAGGTGAAGCAAGGCAGCAAACTGCAAGGTCAAACCAAGGAAAAGACTCAACACAAGCAACATCCAACTCAAGAGCAACACAACAACAGTAGTTTGTTTCAAAAAAAAAAAAAAATTTAAGTGCTTTTAGTGATTTGAAAATTAAATAATGAAAAACATACTTACAGAGCAAGTTGTGTGATTATCTGTTTTATCTCTCAACAATGGTCTTTACCTGGTTTCACCCATGAGACATTTAGATATTTAATACAGGAAATCACAATAAGGGTGCACTTCAAGATTAGCAAAGCTAGGTAGAAATACTTTACATTCAATTCATTGAGAACAAAGAATTAAAAGAATAGTAAAGCCCCGCAACTGGAGGCCCTTTAAAGCACATCAAGAAAAAAAATATATTTTACATTCAAAACACTAAAAAAATGAAGATACTAAAAAATTATACTCACCTCTCAATGTAATCCGACTAGATGAAGCAATATCAGAGCAATGTAAAATATTTTCGAAACAAGTATCTCTTGCATTATATTTTGGCACAATAGTATAATGAACTCCATCTAAGCATTAAGAGGGAAAGATAGAACTCCAGCTTTTAGAGGAAAAGAGAGAGAAAAGTTTTAGGGAAATAAAACAAATGGGCTGCCTTGAAGCAAGGCATAGCAATATCAAAACATAAGATGAAGCATACATTTGAATAAGTCAGTATTTGCTTTTTAAGCTTTGATCTCAAATTGTCCAATTCTTGGTATAAATACATTTTCCACCACAAGAATAAATTCTAAGATGCCTAAAAGGAATGACATAAATCATAAGTAGATTGAAAGATTATCAAAACAAAGTAAAGAACCAAAATCTTTTTTTTTTTCTCCAAACCAACACTGACAATACAATCATAAGATTGGGCCTGATGAGAGAATGAATTACAATATAATATATATATATATATATAATATATATATATACATGTCAAAAAAGAACTGATCTTATCACATGAAATCAATGATACATTGCACCCAAAAAATAAAAAAATCAATGATATAGATACAGGACACACAAAAGTCATTAATTAAACAAAAAACAAAACTAACTATGTGAACTATGAGGAATGTCCATCTATGAGTATATTGGTTTTCATCAAATAAGGAAAACAAACAAGCTCATATAAACACCTTTTCCTTTATATAAATTATAATTAATAGAAGCAAAATATACCATGCAACACAGCACAAACCGAAAATCGAGAATTATGGGATTCCCCAATCTGGTATTTTTGGAATAACTCATAGTACTACCCCTTTCCATTTGTTTGCATTCCTGTATAAATAAAAGACAATATAATCAACATAATCACCCTTCAAGAAAAATAATCTCCAATTCATTAACTCTTAACAGAGAAAGTAAGCCACAACTTTATCTTGTAGTTCGCCTCATAAGGTGATGTTCTGATAATTCTTGTAATTTGTAGCTTTCCCTTGTTACATCAGACTTTTCCCAAAGAATGCCGTAAAATTCAAATAGACTAAAATTCTCAATTTAGAGTATAGAAAAACAAGTAGCTCTTGTATGATGTTCCAATCTAAAATGAACAAACCAGTAGTTGAGTAGTCCCCAAGCTGCAACAATACAATTGAGCTTAATTAAGATTACCTGAATGCATAGAAAAACTGGTGTAAAACTCACAACAAACACCACTATCAGATCAAGATGCAAGAAAGAAATGCAAGTATAAGTCCAAACAATGCTTGAAGAAACCCACCTAAGACGCAATGTATCCCATCTCCTTCTAGTTAAATGTATTAAACCAGCCAAATGAGTAATTCACTGTTATGTATCCAAAAAATTTTAAAAATTACTCACATCATTGCACTTTTTTTCTCTCTCTACATATTCTACTAATTGCTCTTTTATTAGGCAATGGCATTGTCAAATGAGAAAAAAGAACAAACCAAACGAAATAAGTACTTATATTCTGTTCCATTTGATTGCGATCAAAAAATGAACAAAGAAGCAATATAGAAATTCAACATCACAAAAGTCACTAAAAAATGAAAAATTAGTTTGATATTATTGGCGATAATTGATATTACCTTATGAAGATCCACTGGGGCCAATGGCCTTCAATCATCATTATCTAATTACACCTAGAACAAAAAAAAAAAAAAAAAAAAAAAAAACTAAAATCAAAATTTACAAATAATTTTTTTTACAAGATTTAATACCTAATTTTTTTTATTAAATAATGAAATCCTATTTTCTGATTTCCTGCATTTCTTATTCTACAAAACTAAAAGTGCCATTTTTCTTCAATCTCAATTAGCCATAAGCAATTTCCATTAGTCTATTGCTTTTGGAAAATTAGACACAGCTCAATGGTTCAGGCCATCTCAAAACCCATGAAGGTCATAAGGAGAAAATAAAAACTATTGAAACTTGAAAGTGCAAGCCAATCATGTGGTTGGATGTCTCATGCAACATGATGCGAGACTTTATTGCTAAGAATAGGTTAGATAAGGGTTCCATTTCTCATCGATACATGGACACAAACAAAAATTGAAAAACCTAAACTTTACACAGTCCCAAATATACCAACAGTCAAAAATTTACAGAGAAGTGGCCATTTAAAACCTAAATTTAAAAATCACAACTCCTCAACCCAGAAACTCTCCAGATTAAATCTTCACCCCATATACCCAACAAATCATTCACAAAATGCCAACATAATGATAAACCCCATAGAAAAAATGAGGCACACAAGTGTCCCATTCAAAAACAACTAATCATCCCAAAGCATCAAGAAATCTCAAACTCAAACAAGTATCAGAAAATAAAAATGCTGCGAAAGATCTGAGAACCATAGCCCTAATGTGAAACCTTAGAAAACTCATATCATTCATTTCAACAAAGAATCCCAAAAATGAACATCAAAACATTAAGCAGAGAGTGCACCTTCACTTCACAAAAACACCAAAACATCTAATTAATCAAAGTCGGAATACAAACCTTCGAATTCAAAGAAAACATTGGGTGGAGAATGCAATATCAAGAGAGATTGAAACCCTTCTCCTGCGGTTTTGCTCATTCGAACCCTCTCTCTTCTCCATCTCTTCTCGGTTTTGCTCCCTTCATCTCTTCAGTCGAGAAAGTTATTGGAGATTGAATCTTTGAGATCCATAAAGGAAAAAGGAAAAAAAGGAATGTAAGCAAAGCAAAGGTTTGATGATGAAGAAGAACAAGAAGAAGATGAAGAATTAGGGATGTATAGGAATCAAAAAATTGGAGATTAATTGAAAGGAATAATAAAGAATGAAGACGAGAAGGCCAGCGATGAAGCGGCTGAGATTGGAAGAGCAACGCAGCTTGTCAAACCTCATAATAAGAAAGTCGATTCGATTTCGATCTTATGCCGAATCGGTGATGTGCGATCTTCAACAATAATAATCAATCTACTCCGGAGAACAATCAATGAGCTTCGCGTCAATTGCATATATAGATCGAACCCCCTCCTCTTTCTTTCTCCTTCGTTTCGCTCTTTTCTCTCCAAAATAAACTGAGAACCAGAGATCCATTGTGTAAAGGGTTTTTTTTTTTTGTTTTTTTTTTTTTCATATTATGGTGTTTGGCGCTCAAAATTTTGGCGACCAAAAGACAATATTAGTCGCAGAAAAGATACCTTCACCGACAAATTTTTTTAGTCGCCAAATCTTAATCAACGGCGACTAAAATATTAGTCGCTAAAAGTACTAATTTTGGCAACTAATTTTTTTTGGTTGCTGAAAATAAGTTTTTGGCGACCAAATTTTTGGTCCCCAAAAAATGTGACCTTCTGCGACCAAATTTGTAGTTAGTCGGCAAAAGCATACCACTTTTTGCGACCAACTCATTTTTTGGTCGTCAAAATATAACCTTCTGCAATTAATAATATTTGGTCCCCAAAAATAATGATCATTCGCGACTAATTAATATTTGGTCGCCAAATGTCTTTGCTGCGGAAGATTAAGGGTTGGTTTGGCATTTTTAAAATTAAAAAATTATTATTTTATTTAAGTTATATTATTTTATTTAAATTATATTATTTTTTTATCACATTACTTTAAACTCAATTTATATTTTATAAAAAATTAAAAAATACACTTATCTAAATCAACCCTAAACCAACAAACTTGTCATGCCTGAGTACTCAACCTATATATGCATCATGCATGCATGTTATTGGTGTTGGCTCAAGAAACAATTGTGGTAGAAACCCACACATACATAATTCCCACAACTTTTACTTTCATCATAACTACTCGTAATGTGAGGTCTATACATACATAAATGTACCTCACTCACATATCAAAGGCCAAAATCAAATTAAGAATTATGAAACCTCAAAAATAAAGATCCTAAACATTTCTGCTCAAGAAAACAATGATCAATAGTGGTTGAGAAAAGTCTACCTTCATCATGATTAAATTGATGTGATGTATTTTTTTATTCATGATTTATTATAAATATGATATTAGTGTTTGATATAACTAAGTATTCAGAGTCATTTGTGAAGAAACTAAAAAAGTCAAAAGTTATGTTAATTTATTTTAAGTTATATTATTTTTTATATAAAAAAATTAATTTTTAATCAACTTCTCAAATCATCCCTCATTATCTCAATTGGGCCGAACACTGCCTTCTAGAGTCCTATATTTATCACATGATAAATAATGTAAATAAATGCTTGATAAAAAATTTTTAAAAAAAATTAGAAAATAGAATAATGGGGTGATCTAATGTAAAATGAACTAAGGTCAAGTTTGACAACTTTAATATAATCTATCTTTTTATCTTTTTTCTATCACATCACCTCTCTACTTTTCTGTACATCTTTTCGTAAAAAGATAAAAAGTGTAGTTATTTAGGTCATCCCAAACAACTCCTAAATATGATTGCTACAATTCTCTGAATTGTTTTAGTGAATTTAATTTTTATTTTTAAGATAAATTTCATTTTACATTTTTATATTTTATATTTAAATCTCATTTTATTTCTTAACATTTTAATTATCCTAGTCAACTACTCAAACATCGAATCAAGTTGCAATCGAACACATTTGCAAAACAACCTTTCAAAAACTAATAAAGAACACTCACGTGACAATATTAATAACACTTAGTTACCATGCATTGATGTCAAAATAGCATTTTGATCTTTCTGCTTACTCTTTAATACTATTGAACTATTATTAAAATCTCACTTTAATTCTTTAGTTTTAATCTATCAATTGTCAAAATGACATTTTAAGATTGAGCTTAATTGCAACTTGACTTAAAACTTTAAGAAAGACTAACCGGAACAATTAAAAAGTTAAAAAGCAAAAAGTGTTAAGTAGAATGATGTAAAATGAAATTTATTCTTATTTTTATTTAGTCAAAATAAAAAATTCATTCATTTATAATCAAAATTTCTATACAATCATTCATTTATAATCATTCATTTGAAATCAAAAAATTCATCACTATCAATCCTGATTGCATTTATACTGTTTATCACATCATTTGTATGAAAAAATTTATATATTTAGGGGTTGTTTGGGATGATCTAAATAAGTGTACTTTTTGACTTTTTATGAAATATGAGTTGGGTTTGGATTGGGTTTGAAGTAATGTGTTAGAGAGGTGATATGACTTAAATAAGATGATGTGACTTAAATAGAATAGTAACTTTTTGACTTTTTGTCTTTTTTTAAGTATGCTAAACTTGGCCTTAGGCTAAGTTTGACAATCCAAAAATAATTCATCTTTTTATCTTTTCATCTTTTTTTCATCATATCACCTCTCTACTTTTTTGCATATCTTTTTGTAAAAAGACAAAAAAAAAACACTTATTTAGGTCATCCCAAACAGCCCCTTAGTATTTTTCATTTTTAGTCTTTATTTATAATATTGTTTTTACATTAACATAGTGGTACATAAAGCACATGTAACAAAAATATAGTGGGTGTGGGTGTATAGGATAGAGATGAATTGCAAATTCCCAAAAAGTGGGGGAAAGCACCTCCTAGTCTTCTGTGTTCATACTTGGGTCACCTAATTTGCAGGTTGGACTTCTTTATTTTTTTGGAATTCAGACTAAGGGGTTGTTTGGGATGACCTAAATAAGTGTATTTTTTATCTTTTTACGAAAAGATGTGCAGAAAAGTAGAGAGGTGATGTGATGAAAAAATGATAAAAAGATAAAAAGATGAATTATTTTGGTGTTGCCAAACTTAACCTAAATTCGTAAATTTAATATTTTTTTAAGTTGATGGATTCACTCATTTTAGCCACCCAATCAATAATATGTCATGCTTCCAACCTAGCTTCTAGAAGAAGCCAGAGTTCACATTAATTCTGCGTTTAGATTTTTTTTTTTTAAAAGTGAAAAACAAAATATTGTTAATTTTTTGATTGAGTTAGGAAAATCAGATATATATATATATATATACATTAATTTAGTTACCTAAAAAATGAATGTATTAGTAATGAATTAATTTAGTTACCTATAAAAAATGAACGTATTAGTAATTCTCACCATAACAAATTAAAGCCTTATAACAAATTAAAGTATTATTATATTTTTAGCGACAAAATTAAATATTTAGTAATGTGATTATCATTTTGGGATCAAAATTTCCTTCTGAAAAAGTAAATATTTAAGCGTGAAATTATTTTGTTTTAAAAAATGTATTTAATAGCAACATTATCAAAATTTTGTACTAAAAATCATATTTTTTACTTTTTAAATAAATCTTTTGATGACGACTCACATGAGGCTGACTATTGATTTCTTAATTTTTTTACAACGTAATTTTTACTTTTAAAAATAAAAAACATATAAAACCCCTATGCTGTAGTGTCTATTTAGCTTTCCTTTTTTATTTTTTTTTCATCTCTCAATTTTTGCTCCCTTGACAAACGGGCAACAAAACAAAGTACGGGTTGGTTTGACAAATTTTTTTAACAACTTTTTTGATGAAATTTTTTCCAAGCAACTTTTGACTCTTAAGTTCCACTTTTGTTATAAATTACAAAAAAAAAATTGAAAAAATGTAATTTTTTTTTATTTAGATTTTGACCAAACAGAGCATGTGTAGGCATGTTCTGTACAAATATAATATGTATTTATCATTTATTGAGTAATAAATGGATTTTTTTACTCACTTTTCTTACACTACCAAGATTGTGACACAACATTAATAAATATAAGTGAAAGTTATTGCTTTTATGTTTAATGAAAAAAATGGACATAAAATACTCTTATATATCTCATTATCCTTATTTATTTACTTGAAGAGAGATTTCCATTTACTCCTTCGAGTGTTGAACATTTCCAACTTTCTGATATATTAAAAAAATGTAAAAGCAAGAATTCATCTTATTAACTCTTTGTTTTGAGAAGTTAAAAATTAGTTTTTTAATTTTTTTGGTTTTTCTTATTATTTAAAAAACGTATAAAAAAAGTAGAGAGATGATATGACCCAAAATAGGTTAAAAATCAAAAATTGACTTTTAATTAACTTCCCAAATTAGCAAACAAATTTGGTTTAATTTTTCTCAAACAAAAAGTTAATAATTAAAAGTAATTTCAATTATTTTTATTTTGTAAATTATAAGTAAAAATTACATTTATTATATATACACTCACGATTTTGACCAGCAAAATATCTAAGACTCACTAAAAATATCTCATAATTTGGTTCATAATAATATGATATAATACATATTAACTTTTAATTTATTACATATTCAATTATATAAGTCTCATCCTCCCGTCACAATAAACTTTTGGCCATAATTTCAAGTGAACAACTAGAGAGAATACGCGTATGACGGTCGTTTAAGGTTACAGTGTCAATTAGCTAGTACTTGGTTGCTTCCCAATCCAAAAAATATTTAAGGTCATATTTGATTATTTTTTTATTTTGATTTTTAATTTTTTTTTTTTTTCAATTTGACTCTTTATGTTTCAAAAATTTCCCAATTTACTTTTAAAATTAATATCTATTCAAAATTAAACAAAAAATGTCATAATAACTGTCATATAATATAAAAAAAAATATTATTATATTGAAGTTTATATTTATGTTAGAGATGTGAATTATATATAATAAAATATTTTTATGTCACATGACTGTTAGGTCCCGCTTGTTTTGGAGTATGAGAGGGGGATTGGGATTAGGATAGCTATGGGCCCTATTTAATGTGATGTTTGTTTATAGAGTTGATGAAGGGACTGCTAAACTGAAGGGCTTAGGATAGGCCTTGCAGATGAGATATGGATGGGCATCCAGGTCTTGATATTAGAAAAATAGTCTGGCGGACTAGAAATTTTTTATTTTTATTTATTTTTTATTTTATTTTTTACATGTTGGGCATTTTTTTTTTGAATATTAATGTTTAATTTTTTGTATTTTTTGTTAAGTAAAAATCATTATTTTATTTATTTTATTTTTTAAATTTTTTTTACATATTGGGCATTTTTTTTAAAACATTAATGTTTAATGTTTTTGTATTTTTTTTATTTTTTTTATTATTTTATATTTATTT